GTCATTGTACAGTTCTGTGGTTCATTCAGTAGAATCTCGATCAAAGGGTTCGGGGTTCTAATCTCCCCGGCGATCACGCTGAAATAACATAATTATTAATCCACTTTACGTATCTAGTGGATATCCGCTATGATGCAAACGTCTTTGGAGTTTGCTCAGCAATGTGGGCGTCTGTATTAAGATAGATCCTGGCTGGAATACTCCCCACGGAGTGGACAATGTGCATAAATCGTGCGTGGGAAAGATGGCCAGTGTTGTATAGAGTACCGAAGCTGTGACGTCATAAAAATCTATTTTTATAATTTCTCAATTTTTTCTTCATTTTCCGAAAGAGCATCCAAAAGTCGAAAACCAATTGAATATGTAAAGTATTGGCTGAGATATGTCCATCTGAATAAAAAGATTGCCTATGGGAACTTAGTGTTATATGCTCTGTCTCCTAATGGTTACGTCACACTTCACCACTCTATACATGTTTAAACTTTAGAGACATCGTTGATGAATTAAGCACTATGTGCATGTGATCATTTTCTTTCTATTTGTCTTTTTTTCTTTCTTCCTTTCTTTTTTCGTTCTTTTAGAATAATCCACACAAATACAATCATTGTTTTCATAGTGGCTTTCTCAATGTCCTTTCAAATTCTTCTTGACTGATTTTTAATTATATTGATGTTATATATCTTGCATCCCAAAATCATTTAAAATCGAAATTTGATATTGCATAATTACAAATACATTCCATTCTCTATGTCATATTGAAAATATCATTAGATGTTGATTTGATGTAAGCATTTTATCATGTTTCAATTGAGTTATGGAAATAAAATAATTTAAAATAAATTGAAATGGAACCGAATATAATATAAATCCAGACAAGTCGTTATACTTCTTTTTCTCTTCTGCGTCAGATGTCTCCCAATCCGTAGAATGTTACGAGTGCTCACATGTCAACGGTACAGGGTCGCCAGACTGCCTCGAGCCCTTCCCCAACCCCGTGCCTCTCACCAACATCACCATCATAGAGTGTGAAAGATATTGCATTGTAAGTGATCTCAATACCATCCCGTTATTAGACAACACACAGCAGGGAGGGCATTAGTAAGAATTACCCACACAAATTTGGAACAATCTAACACACCCGAAACGATAACCGAATGTGTTTGGACTGTTTCGAAGGTACCGAGTGTGGGTAATTTTACTAATGCCCGAACAAAATGATGTGTATTATTTTGTGTTATAAATAAGATGATGTTTTGTTTGTGTTATAAAATGATGGTTTATATTAAATATTATTTTACTAATGACCGGTCAATAGTATTTGCTGATGCCTAGTCATTAGTAAAATTACGTGTTTTATTATAATCCGCTTCATCATCGTATAAACTATTATATTAACTTTCCAACAAAAGACGATCAAATAGACGGTTCTGTAGACGGGGAGAGGGGAGATAGAAAGGAGGAGAGGAGGGAGGGGGGGGGGGGGGAGAAGGGGGACAAGTTTGATTTCGGACAAGCACAATTATATTAATAAAAACACAAATTAACTAATAAAAGAGGAGGGAGTGAGAGACAAAGAAAGACAGATAGAGACAGAGAAAGACACAGAGAGAGAGAGAGAGAGAGAGGGAGAGAGAGAGAGAGAGAGAGACATACAGACATAGAGTGAGACAGGGGAGAGGGAGAGAGAGAAAGAGAGAGAGAGACAGACAGACATACAGAGAGGAGGGGGGGGGGGGGAGAGAGATAGAGAGAATTGTTAATGTATATACATGTAATAGTGATTAGTTGTAATGAAGTGTAGAAGAAGTAATAGTAGCAGCATCAGTTAGAGCAATGATAATGCAGTCGAGTACTCGTTTTTCATGTTTAGCACACGAATTTTGTCACATGCAAGGTCAATTGCAAACACAATATTACACACAATTTTGAGGAATAATCCAAAAGCAATTTTCACACCTCCATGTCTATCCTTTAAAAATCATTCTCTCTCTCTCTCTCTCTCTCTCTTCCTCTCTCTCTCTCTCTCTCTCTCTTCCTCTCTCTCTCTCTCCTACTCTATCTCTCTCTTCCACTCTCTCTCTCTCTCCTACTCTATCTCTCTCTTCCACTCTCTCTCTCTCTCTCTCTCTCTCTCCCCCTCTCTCTGTGTCTTTCTCTGTCTCTACATGTCTCACTCCCTCCTCTTTAAAAGTTAACTTATTCATTGTATTGTATGTATTCATTTAATTTTGCTTCTCCGAGATTGTTTCGGCTTGCAAACATCATAACAAAGAATTTCGAGAAATAATCCGAAAGCAATTTCAAAACCGCCTCGTGTATTCTTTATAAATCATACTCAAATAATATAATAGGTTATTGTCCTACTCGCATATACATGTAACACAGTTCACGGACAAGGCATTTTGAAATTGCCTAACCTTAATATTTGAAGGTCTTTGCGATCGCGTAGTCATCAACAATCCTATAGGGATCTCACGATCAATACATTGTAATTATATAATTACTCCAATTATCTCATCCCATTATCCCATAGAAATCCGTCACCATGGAGACGACAACAGATGAGATGGGAGGGGCGGTGAGCGAGTTTTACGCCACCTCGCGGACCTGCGGGGCTCAGTGTATCGAGGCCTGCTACACGGCCGGGCCAGGCTTGGCGATGGAGACTTGCTCGTACTGCTGCGAGGGAGAGCTATGCAATTCAGCGAAGCCTGTAACAAATCGACTGGCGTTCATGATGATGCTTTTGCTCATGGCATGGGTATTTCTTATATAACTTATCGAGGCGGGAATTCGAATGATGCCATTTCTCGTTCATTATGGAGACAACAAAATCGTAATTGCTAGTGCATTTTATAAATCCACGTTATTTTGTAAATATCTTAATTTGTTACCATTCCGTTGATTCATAATATATGTATATGCAATATTTTTTCCCGTAACATGAGAGTAATTTTAATAGTTTCATACTATTAATTAAATGTATCGTTAACTGTAACTGTATAATTTTTTTAATGGGGGCACGCTACAAGAGTCCTATCTCGCACCCCGGGGCAACGTGTCTGACACGGCCGGTTGTAGCAACTACTCCGAAGATCAAGATTACAGTAATCTTGATCTAAGGAGACACGAACGAACGAACCATTCCGTTTACATGTCAGCATGGTGTATAGTTGTATTTGATACTTGGAAATGAAAATAAATGAAATAAGAAAAGATGAAAGATAATATGTCATGATTATTTCAAACTATATGTAGATCGAAACAAAAACATATAAAGAACGAAATAATGATGAATAGGTATCAGAATGAAGCATAATATGAAAGAAAAATAAGAGACGAGATAGAGAGAGAAGAGACAAAAGAGAGACGAGATGGAAAGAGAGAGAGAGAGAGAGAGAGAGACGAGAGAGAATGAAGAGGGGGTGGGGTGCTATTCATTTTGTTGTGCATGAAATAATGGAGGAGTGATCAACCGAGGAATATGGTTTAAAGCAATTTAGGGGGATTTACTCATAGAATATCGAAATGTATTACCTCTAGTGACTCAATAATCTTGTTCAGGTATCACACGATAAACAACCACAAAAAAGCATATCATAAACAAACAAAAAACGCCGCGATAATTTATTTGTAAATGAATAGCAACTACGCGCAACAGAGGTCTTTCGCTTTATTCAGTAAGCTTTGTGTAATAAGATGCATGAATGTGAAGCGCATTACACTTTACGTCATCGTCCACACACACACAAAAAAACAAAAACGCCGCGGTTCACCGCACCACATCTGAACAAGGCTTTTGGAAGTTATATTTGTTCATGATTGCTGCATCCCCCAAAAACCTCTCTTTCTCTGTCTGCGCGTGTGCGTGTGTGTGTGTGTGTGTGTGTGTGTCTCTCTCTGTGTCTCTCTGTCTCTCTCCCTCTCTCTCTCTCTCTCTCTCTTTCCATCTCTCTCGTTAGCTCTCTCGCGGGACACTGAACCAGGACAATACCATGGATCTCGGTTCATGTTGTGGTTTGACGCCATCTATTGACCACTCACAGATGCTGCATGTACCAGTGTACTGCCTGTCAGCGTACACTATGGAGGCCAGTAGTATACCGGAGGACAAAACGGTGCAGCGAAATGACTTCTGCAGCCCCACCTTATCGTACTGAACATGTGGGACTCTTGATCCGCGATCGTATATGAATACATGAAATTATTATTTCAATCTATGAAACAGGAAAAGGATAAACATGTTGGCCCGTATTCTGAAGTCAGGTTTAGTTAAACCTAGGTTTAACTTTAAACCCGGGTTTAACTAAGCCAGACTTCAGGTCTAAGTATCATTTCAGTTTCTGAAAGCCAGGTTTAGTTAAACCCAGGTTTAAGTCTAAAACCCAGGTTTAAAGTTAAGCCAAGGTTTAACTACCATGGAGATGTAGTCTGCTTCTACTGCACATGCTCAGTACAGCTCATCCATCTTCAAGGGTAGCTGATATAGGCTTTTTTATAGCTGGATTTCGTGCTGCAAATTTAATAACTTCAATTTAAAATATTCGACACAAACAAATCTCTTTCGAAGCAACCATTGAACGTTATGACCTGATTTTTTGTTTTGTTTTACCCTTTGATTTATTGTTAAACTGCTGAAAAAGTCTGAATCGAGGTGGAATTGTTCTTTACGAAAAATAAATAATAGTAAAATACAAAAATCAGGATTCTACAATTCCAGAACATCATACAAATGCTCTAAATAAGATTTAAATGACTAAAAGAGAAACTAAAAACGATCAAAAATACCTTCTTGATGCAAAATAACTAGTCCAAAGTCAACATTGCAGAAGCTCATTTGTTTGATTTTTAGTTTTTTTTTAGGACAATGGAATCCTTTTTCGAACCGACGTGTCGGGTATCGGATACCTCGGGTATCACGATCTCCTTCTTGGTCACCGTGCGCGCATCATCGATCGTGCGCGCATTCATTCGTTCAAGTAGACCTACACCATAGAGATATATACTACTAAACACTAGAGGGCGTACTCGCTCAAATTGCTGCTCCGAGCTGGAGCGGTGGCCGCCATTACTAAGGAGGGCAGAAAAACGGACGACCCAACAAGATACTGTGCACAACATACGTGGAAAAATTGAAGAAGCCAGGTTCGTGCGTTGCATTTGGATGTTCGAACCGAAGAAAGAAAGGGAACTGCATAATATTTCACAAGTAAGTTCTATACCTTTACCTTTACCGCAAATACTGGAAGAATGCTGAGACAGCAGTCGAGCTTCCAGGTCTATCTTCTTGGTCTATCTTCTTGCACTCATACTCTTTAATAATAATTCTCATTATATGCAAGGGAGGCAGAGGGGCAAGAGGTTGCATCTTGACTGGACAATGTAACATGTACAATGTCCCAGGAGCAAATGTTATATGTTATGTTGATTAATAAGGAGATTTTGGAGCTAAAAATGTAGTTTATGCAGATAATGCAGTGACTGTAGTCTGTACCCGGGTTGTCTCATGACAAGCCACGGCAGCTCCTGCAGCAGCGGAGCGCGCCAGTCCACGCCCGCCGGGCTGGGGCAGGCATGGGTTAAGGTTCTGGGGATGGTGATGGGAAAATTCTGCTGCGCTGGAGTCGCTCGCAACTCCAAGAGTCAGAGAGTCCAACTCGGAAATATAACTCCATGAGCTTGATTCTAGTAAAGAAAAGTCTAGAATAAAATGATATAATTAATTTGATCTTATCTAATTTCAAGATAAATTAAAAATCAAATGTCAGCTTCTTTATATTTTAACTAGACTAGACTAGAGCTAGATGATAGATCTAGACTCTAGACTCTAGATCTAAACTCCAGTCTCTAATTTCTAAAGCCTGAACAGCAAAGCCAGGTTAGACAGAAATAACCGTCTGATATGGGTAATTTCTTTAATAAAACTGACATTTGTTGACATTCCCCATAATATAATCAGAGGTCTAGTGGAGCCAGACGCAGTCTCAGTAGAACAACCGACGATATAGAGAGACTGAAGCTTTTGGTCTAAGCCAGGCTAGCCTGCCATATTTCACATCACAGGAGTTATCCAACTAGGCTAGGCAAGCCTAAAAATCCCACCGCACACTACACTATTTCTATCAAATTTGCTTATGACTTGCTGACATTATTATTATTTTATTTATTTGGCTGGAAGCTGCTTTCAGTTTCAGTCTTAAAAATCACATGAAATAGCATGAATAGTAGAACAATTGTTATGTTATGAGAAAAAACTCATTATTGTTTCCATTTGCTTTTATTGTAATGCAGGAATACACTCAAGAGAGGAAAGGATGTTACACACCACATCTCATTCCTAGAGCTGTGCCTACTGTCTTTCCTGGACATCCTCCCTATAAACAGACCCATGGCTCAAGACTCCCAGCAAAACCATGTACAACATCCGAAAGTGTTCCCGTGCCTCCAAAGAAACCCTATGACATTACAAAAGAACATGACTATTCTTTTTCTGTCTGAGTTGATTAGAAACTGAATATAACCAGACAGCAAGTGCAGGATGCCAAGAAACAGCTTCAAGTGGTGAAACAAGGTAAACAGGAGAGATGGAAAAACCAGGACTCTCTTGCAGGAAGTCCACGAAAGCAAGCTCATTAGCCAGGATCAGCTTGACCTACTTCAACACAACTTTGGAGAGAACGCATTTTCAGGAAAAAAAACCAAAACATAGAACTTCATTCGTACAAACTACTACAAAGACAGATCAGTCTTTTATATTTTGCCTCTTGTCTGCATAGCTTATCCACTGGATGATTGACTGTGAAGCCGTTTAAAACTGGAGAGAGCTTTCAATAATCTTTTAAAAAAACAGAACAATCTGAGACTTTTGTTCTGTGTAATGAAATAAAATTCTTGGGACACATTGTGACAGTTGCACAACCTAACCATAATTTTCTGTTTGTTAACTTTACACGAAGGCAAACTAAAGTGGAACTTAGAAGAGTTGATTAAATTAGGGGTTAAACAAAATGTACTTGAATTTTGAGTTGTTGTGAGGTACACTGTATTTGAATATTTACTCTATAAGCTTCATAATTGTACCTGCTGTATCTGATTCAGTTGCTATAATTTTTGCAAATTATTTGCACTCTACATGTGCTTTGATTCTGCAGGTACAGTATGGATAACCTGAGATAAACATGTAGACCTTTTTTTATAACATTGTCTGGATTGCTCTCAACCAAGTGATTTACATCATTAAAGATGAAAAGCAAGAAATTCACATCAAGTGAGCCCATTTTCAATAAGCGAGAAGAATTCACAGATGTGTTGCAATTGAAAAGCTTGTGTAATGCACAGTTGCACACCATATACACACCCATAGATTGTTTTGTACATAGGTTGGAATTTTGTTCCAAAATGGAAAACTGCTTTTGAAGAGATTTGATAACAGAACAATTATATGGAATAATGTCACTAGATGTAAACCCATAAGATTGTGCACTCTTTGGCTTGTTGTATCTACTGTGTACATTTGAGGGTAATCAGTTTCAAATTTATTATTATACCTGATGAATAATGATGTCAAAAGACCATGTTACTATGAGGTTTCACTGAATAGTGTAGTGCAGTATCCTGAGATGTAAGTCTCTTCAATTATAGTTCTTCATAGCAATACAGGTGACTTGGAATATATATGCTCAATTACTTTTTCTGGTTTGCATTTATTACTCGATGAAATGTCTTTGTATTATTAGTAAATGTAATGCGCCTGCGTGCGCTTGGAGCCAAGACTAGTTAATAAAGTGTTCGTTATCGCTGACATCTTGACACATAGACATTGGCCTCCTGACATTTATGTTTTGGGAGTTATTGTGGCGGTTTTGGGATGTGTAATGCTTGTCTTTGGTGGCGAATCAATTTGTTGTGGTTGTGTTGCCTATGATCCGTGACGGTAAATTTGGGGCTAAAATCTGAGGTGTTGTTTTTGCAATGTCTGTCCTTTCAATTGTGTTGTATTATTGCAGTATAATAAAATGTCAAAACTTAAATGCCTATGCTGTAGAATATCAACACACGTGTGCCGTGTGGTAATAAAAGGTTCATTTATTCATTTTTTTCCTTCAAATTGAATTATAAGTTTATTCTCTAAAACTGGTTGATGAAGAAAATAAGAAATACACTGTATCAAGGAGAATATTATTTATGGAGAAAAAAGGTGATGTGAATAAATAATTATTACATCAATGATCAGCTGTTTTTAAAGAATATTCATATATATTTATAGTGAACTGTAAAAAATTGAATTATTCTTTCAGACATATAGAAATTTTATAGAGATTAGGTGAAAGACATAAGGTGTGAATTTGATATAAAATGAGTGAGAGAAGAAGAAAAAGAATGTTTGGATGGATGGATGAATGATTGGATGAGTAAATAACATAATTTTTTTTAAATAAATGTGTATAATTCTTTCCTTTCCCCTCTTCCTATCTTCAGTATCGTCCTATATCTGCATTTCCATTATCTACCTATCCTTCTATGTTATATCTATCTATCCATCTATTTATGTGTCTAGCTATACCCATCTCTATCCCAAATCTATAAGTATCAATCTGTTTGTAATAGCCATAAACATAAAATGAATATATAACCTTTAAAGCGTTTTAAATCAATAAACCCTGGCTCTCATAATAACTGAATTAGAAAGACATTGACCCCCGGCATTGGCCCTGTAGCATAAAACTTTGGTTAATATCATGACATAAATATCAAATACAAGTCCCAAATGCTTGATTCTGATTGGTTGAAAGCCAAGTAATATTTGATGTCATAATATCGCAGTTTTATATTGACAAAGAGGAAGAAAAATTGAAGATATACTGAAATATAAATAGCTTTTTGTGTCCCTTTTACCTCACCATAACACCCGTAATTAATCTTGACCTACACCAGATACCATGACTGAGGCATGAGTAGGGTTCATGCATTATGCAAAATACCACAATTATAACGTTTCATACTCGAAAACCGATAAATCAACTCGAAAAATGAAGCTTCACATTGCTTATCAGTAGCACAGTTTCGAAGGGAACATCCGGGTATTTCTCGAAGTTGTGCCCTCCTTAGTAATGGCGGACCGCGCTCCATGCGCGCACAGAGCTTTGAACGGGCGCGTATGACGAGTCCGCACTCTAGCCTTATTAAGTATATATCTCTATGACCTACACACAGTTTAGAAATATTGCATTGTCCTAAAAAAAAACGCTTGAAATTCGACCATATTATATGAGCTTCAATGTTGACTTTGGACTAGTTATTCTGCATCAAGAAGGTATTTGTGATCATTTCTCTTTTAGTCATTTTAATCTTATTTAGGTCTAGATCAAGATATCTAGATCTAGACCTCTAGATCTATATGCATCTTTCGGGGCATCTTTAGGATGTTATGGATGTTTTGACATCATTAATATTAATAGACTAGGCGCGCCTAATCGGTCTAGAGTCTAGACTAGGTCTAGATCTAGGGCAGAAATTGTAGGATTAGATTCTACCCAAAACTCTACTAGATCTAGGTCTGGAGTTCCGGCTTAACACACTCGTTGGCTCTTAATTATGCTAATCCATGATTGTCTTATAAATATAGATTTAGCTCTTCATTAATTTACTCTTAATTCTAATTCAACCTTATAAAGCCTACAGTTTTATTTTAACTCGCATTTGTTTACATCGTTGGGACCCAATTCAAAAATGTGCATTGCACTCACAGTTTCAAAACTAGTACGTGAGCATAACGTCAAACTAAAGGTATGGGGCTAGGCCTACTAGTACATTTGTTTTCCTCTGCAACAAAGTGATACGTGTTGTCGATTTACTTTGGCAACTTTTTAGTTTCAAGTATTGTCGTACTATACAAATCACACAATCTTATATAAAATATAAAATCTTAAGACTTAGAAAATATTAGGCATAAAGATTCAACAAGCAAATGAAGTATCCAAATTAATGTTCAAACTTGCCGAAGGCATAAAATCGCAAGGCCCACTTTCATCCGCAAGCGATGTGTGTGTCACCTTGTACTGTTGGAGTAAGTGCAAATCGCTGTTTGTTTGGTATTTAAAAAACAACAGCGATGCAAAAAAATCATCGTCGCAATGATTATGAAAGGTTCTTTTCTTTCCACAAGAGGTCTCTCCGGTCTCATTATTTGCAATAATTCGTCGTAATGCCTTTTAATGGTGTCTTCTTCTCCTCTGAATTTCCAACAAATAGTTAGACCTGACTTAAGCCAGACTTAAACTAGGTGTACCCCAGGTTTAAATATGTGTACAATTTCCACAGAGTTAGACCAGGCTTAAACCTAGGTTTAAGTTAAACCTGACTTCAGAAACGCAAAATTAAACCTAGGTTTAAATCTGAGAGTTAGGCGAGGCTTAGACTAGACTTAAACCTAGGTTTAAAGTTAAACCTGACTTCAGAATACGGGCCGTTGACTTTAATATTGATGAATCATTTTGAACCAAGGAGGAATTGATGATAGCACCCACATTATTTCATTTTGCATTATACACCAATGCAATAGGATATACATAATTGTTTCATTTCACATTTGCTTAGTGGCATTACTCAATATTATACAAATATACACTGTCTTGAGAGGTTCTGGTTTAAACTATGCGCAAGACTGCAAATGGTACTTTTGGAGTCACCGAGGCCCATAGTTTTAACCAGTACCTCAAATAGAAGGCATGGTAATGTTTTATATCCTGCATTAAAAGATTTTTTTTATTAAAAATAACACAAAATGTCAATTTTTATCTAAAAAGATTTCAAATATTTTGTTTTCATTAGATTAAAATTTGGAAGAAGAAAAAAAATGATTCAAACAAAAATTTCACTTTTTTTTTTTTTACTCCAACTCCCAAATAGTATTCCCAAAAAGTACTCTCATATAGTTTAAATATTTATGTTCATGTGACGAGCTCTCAACCAATCAAAAGCCAACAAATGTTTGATGCAGGATATAAAGTCCTATATTTGCAATGCTACGAAGTTGCATGGAAATATTACAATCATCAATATCACTATTACCATCATCGACATCATCATCATCATTACCATCGCCATTTTATTTTTTTATTTATTTCTAATCTTTTGTCAGGGTAGCCTATTCACCATTAAATGTAAAGACCAGTTATGGTCATGCCATTGCATTGTGAAAGAAACGTGGAATCGATCAGAAAAGGTTGATCATCTAGCATATAAGTATTGGTTTGTACTGCAAGGTTCTAGACTCATCAAAATGATAAGAAATTTGGCCCATTCTTCGTAAAGTTACAAGCACTATACACAGAAAGAAGTATATGGGACTACCCTATATCTCTCACAGACCATGAGAGAAACAAATTTACCAAATATATGAATTAGTAGGCGGTTTCCCGGTAAATTTTGTATCATCATGTATTAGTCAAAACATATTCTTTCACATGATTGGTAATGAGAGCTTCCATTTCATTTTTTGAAATTGGGGCGTTTCCAAAACTGGTCTTTACCTTTAAGTAGTGGTCTTCCATGGGGCCCTGAATACACATGAAACTATTTACATCAAAAATCATAACGTTTAATATACAGAACAGTTAGCATTATACACCAATGCAAAAAGAGAGAGAGAGAGAGAGAGATAAACAAACATTGCACTTG